GTGTCTGAGTGAGCGGGGAGTTGCAAACTCGTCCGAATGCGTGTAAGAATGCTTGCGCGTGTAAGGTTGAGAACAATTTTCTCGATAGTGAATGTATGCTGTGCGACGGGGATTGCACTGTTTTCATACTTGGGCGATAGGAACCTATAGCGCTAATGCCGATCCACTGACTTTAAACATCTCAAAGTTGAAGTTAGGTACATACATACAAATTTCTATGGCTACCTTCGTCACATCAGCGTCGAGCATGTAACTCAACAAGACGTAGGCTGTGGTCTCAATATCAGCTGGACGCGGCTGGTAAAAATATTGTGTTGTGTCATCCGGTCTGACATTGTCTTTCGATGTAGACCAGTGTATCGTGCCGTCTAAAATGAGTTAATCATGTCAGCCTAATTTATTTCAAAAAATGAGGTATACTGAGTACTGATTGAGTAGGCAACGTAAGGACTAGCCATGTCTCAAATTTCGTCCTTCTCGGCACCATAAAATTGAGTCCCACCTACCTTTATCAACGATCTTGAGCTTCTCCAGCGCTTCCATAGCTTCCTTCTTTTTGGGACTGTTTGCAAGATATAGTGCGTATGTGGTCACGGCCAATGTATATGCGTTAGCGCTCATCTCGCTGAGATGATTCTCCAGATAAGCGATCGCTTTTTCATTCCGTATCTAAACATGGCGCATACTCCGGCTAAAGACATCTTAGGCAAATAACGAACTCCATTTTCAAGAAGGGCTACTACAACATAAGCAGTGAGGGCTGGACCTCCTTGGCTAGCGCCTCCTTGCACGTCCTTGTGGACCACTTCACCATGCTCGGCAAATGAACCATCTGGCTAGAAATAAAGGGCTTCCAAGCTAGACAAGCTTATTTGTACTTTCCCAGGAACGAGAAAACCGATTGTTGTGCTGTCAGATTCAAGCTATAATCTCAAATTCTTGAGTATTTTTGCAATTTAAGTTGTTAGCTATTAGTTCCAAGTTAAAAGCGCAATGAAGTATAATGTCGTTAATAATATGAAATTTAGCTTTTTCTCATTATTTCAATTTACGACAGATCGTAGAAATTTAGATCCTCCAACAAATTACAAGATTTGGAATGGGAAAACCAAAATGTTCTCATGGAACATAAGTGATTCTGTAATATTCAGTAGCTTTCAAACATCATGTAATCTACGTATTAGCGAGGAAAGCTCAGTCAAAACTGAACGAGCTATTTGAACGGATTTTCCGAAAACTTGCAGATGCTTCGAGGAACATTAGAATCAG